CATTATTCGACTCTACTTTAAACAATAAGACAATAAGAGTGTATTAGGCTCTAAATTGAAACGATGATCCCTCTTACTGTTGTGGCTCCCTGATCCAGTTTTTAAAACTTATTCACCGTTCTCTTGATGGTTCTTGAATGGACTTTGATGATGAAAGTGAGAGTATGAATGTTGGTACCATTGCGGAAACTGTATGAATGATCTTTTTCCTCTCACCATTACTCAGTTGAGAAGACAGTGTTAAGCTTTTCTCTTTCTAGCTGAAAGAGCAAGTGATTGAAAAATTCAGAACATTCATGAAATAATTCGGTACTAGGTTATTTTATGTTTTATTCTTGTTTGACAAGAATACACACGTTATTAAGTGGTATAAAGACAGGAAACTCTAGACCGCCATGATTGCCAACGTTCTGAAGTGACATGGAACATAAAAGAAAACCTACAAGAATTAAAATTAATAACAACTGTATCTTCAATTTCCCCTAAATAATCTTGACATTTTCTTGAAATATTAACGCATCTTCCATGTTACTAAATTGTAATAAATACAAACAGTTAAATATAGTAATAATCCGTCCTTTTAAGTAGCATGAATAAAAAATTCTGGAATTTTATTCCGATAAATAAACACACGTAACAATGTGATGCTAATTCATAACCTGCTTCGACCTACTTTGCAACGTCAGGCAGGAAAACCTGATTCGAAAGACAAAAATAATTATTACGCAACATGGCGCCTTCCTATGGCGCCAATACAGTTAGGTATACGTAACAAAATACTTTCTTTTCATTGTTTTTCTTGTTTTCTGTCAGCTTATCATGTTTCAATGTATTCAGTTATCTAGATATTTACATTTTTTCACGCTATATACTTTAATATCGCTATATGATCTGTAATTGAAACTATGATCGGGAATTGGAATGAAAGCAGTGATTGGTCGAACCCTGAATCTATCATAAAAATTCAGGACCTGAAATTAGTAAATGCTAAACACATCAGGTACCTAGCTGTATAGCTAGCTGATTGTAACCGGTAAGAAAACTGAACATAGATTTGGTTGTAATAGGTGTAGTTTCCTCCAAACACCGCACGTTGCTACTAAATCTAAAATCTCAAGTTGTCAGATCGTGACTTTTACATGGATATCTACATATATAGCCTCCCTCTGTCTGTTTGTTAGCGAACTCCTCCTAGGGTTTTGGAGATAGACCTCCATGAGCATATATATTGGGAAACTATATTACCCAGGGTAGTTGGCTAAGTATATTTCATTTTTATGAAAGGGGTTCCCGGAAAGAGGCACAAGCCCCAGTGAATGTCTTCCCTTTTGATTTAAATTAAATTAAATCTAAATTTGAACAAGCTGACAGATGATATAATGGAGCCTGGCGATCAAGTAACAATTCAAGATGGTGAATGGCTACATTTTCTTATCATTTACCTTCTGCTGCTGGGATAAAATTTTATCCAGCAGAAATTCGTGAATAGTTTTGCCAATCTGCTTTCCGAGTCCAGTCTTGGGCGTCACATATGTGAGATATTTATTTACAAGTTCAACCATGATGACATAATAATCTTCCACCATCATCATCAAAGGCTATTTATTGGTCTTCTCATTCTTTATTATTACATGAGTGGTGGTCTTCTTACCATCAAATATAGAGTGATGTCATATTTTCAAAAATAGCTATCTGAATTTCTTGTCTTTTCAATCGATATTTTTGATTGGCATCTCGTAGCTTATGTGGTCCAATACTTTGACTCTTGTCATCCTTTATGATAGTGTCATAGTTAACGCAGCAGAAATAATGGTAGCTCGAGCGTGATCAGTAATGAAGTATTGGCCACGAGCGGCTGGCCCTGTAGGGAGTCTTGCCCTGTTGTGGTGTCGGGAGGGACCAAATCATTGACAGGAGGGATATCTCTTGAATCAGCCGAATTATCCTCAACCTTACGGAATTTATCCAGCCACGAGATCTTTATTTCTTTGACCAAGCTGCTTGCTGGCTCCGTTTGCATCATGCGTCTCTTTTAGCGTCATTCTGTGGGACATAATGACGCTAAAAGAGAAGGCACGATAGAGTAGTGGATAGCGGCTCGGATTGATGAATCGGAGAGCCGAGTTCGAATTCCAGTTGAATCAATTACATTCATACGTGCTAATACCCTTGGGAAAGGTATGAATCCTCTTCTTCCCTACCCGACCCTCAGCTATGGGTAAATAGCAGGACAGACCAGTCTCTATAGCCTTGGATGGTAACTGGTCTACTGCAGAAAAAAATGGCAACCTACTGCGAGAAAAAAATCTGCCTCCTCAGTCCTGTATTGAAAGATACATGATCGCTTAGGCGTGTATCACGCATGGCACATAACTGACAGTCCCACATCATCATCCCTTTCATGACACTCACTGCAATTTTCACCTTCCGATCATCTCGCTGGTCAAGGAGGAGCTACACCTCACGTTTAGAAACTTTTATATTACAATTACAGGCCAGG